TAACTTTTAGCACTTTGCAGTTCCTGGGCGTCGCTTGTTTCCAGATAGTGACGCTACTGAATTATAGATAACTTGCAACAGGTAACTTCTAGAAAAACTCTAGCCTAACTCGCTATGTTTATGTTATGACCTGATATGTTTAAGCTTGTTATTTTCAAATATTCCCAATTCTATACAATAAATTACCAATTTGTTTTCACATTGAATTTGTTCAATTTTTTCCCGTTACATTACCCTCACCTTAAGAGCAAAGCCTCCTGGCTGCGAAAAAATTAAAAGCAAAAATTGAGCACTTTCGTAGCTATCACGGGACGCAACCGTGTCCAATACCGGTCAAGGCTAATCATAGGCCTCCGGGGGTCGCAATAGGAAGAATTGTTATACTAAGTAATTATATATTTAATAGTTCAAAGTCCGTTTCCATTCCAAGTCGAATTATTAACCATTGATCATCATTTCCTCTCTGAATCTTCTCGCTCTTTTTATGTGGAGGTCCTTTCTCCGGGGGTGGTCCAGTGTATTTCAAACTTGTGAGGATTTTCTGTAAAACTAATGTAAACCAATGCGTTACGTTCTTGCTCAGGCTTATTTTATTATGTGCTGTTCTTTACATCCTAGGCGACTTCTGATTAAGTGCAATAAAAATGTGTGGCCGTAATAGGGTTATTCGCCGCTCTGGTTCTGGATAGTAGTGGAAGGAGAGGCACGATTCTCGATCCATACCAAATTGAATACCTTCCATTACGGTCTCGTTACGGTTGACTTGTAGGACATCGTAATCTATGAACACTTCCATAGGAGGCTTTTGGAATTTCTTAGCATCATGTATGTGTTCTGGCAGGAGTCCTTCTTCAGTAAAATTGTGTGCTTTACACTCATCTTCATGTAGTTCTTGTGTAAGGGGAACTTCGAGAATCTCCGTTCTTATGGGTAGAATTTCCTCTAACACTGTAACTGGCTTTTCGATGTCCTCGTCTTCTTGGGTGTGGTCATTCGTTTTCTGTATTGAGTTCTGTCCTGATTCCGTTTCTGTTTTCTGGCTTAAGTCGGGTGTGGTTCCAATTTCATCTTGATAGTGGGAAGTCTCTTCACCGTGAATTTGGTTGAACTTGACTTTTTGATCAACTACTTGGTTTCTTGATGATTGAGTGCGGGTAGAAGTTACAACTTCCCCCCTGAAATCGTTATTTGCATTTTTGAAATATTCGATCGACTGGTCCAACTTCAAGGCTAAGTCTTTTAAGTCTTGGCTTATGCCTTTGTTATCTTCTTTCTGTTCCTCCATCTTCGCATTTATGTCTCTTTTCTGTTCATCCATCCTTGTGTTTAGGACCTGCATCAGCATCTCTAATGTCACTGTTGGGGGGTTACCGGCAGCATTTGATGATGTAGCCGTTGGCTGTTGGTTATCGTCGGGCGTTGGCTCGGCATACGCGACTCCCTCTTGCTGTTGATCCATTTCTCCGGCGTGACTTGAATCGTCCCAACTTAACTGTGCGTTACGCAGTAATTCAGAGGCTTCGCTTGAAGTGTCGTCCTCCGTTCCGCTAGACAGGTCCGATTGGTGTGTTGGTTTGAAAGAAACTTCGGGATCAACTTCAG